TACGGTGTGTTTACAGTTGTGGTTTGGTTTTTCTGATCCCGACCGATTTCAAAAATGATATTCATGTGCACACTGGGTTTTCCAAACAGCAAACCTAAAAGCATAAGGATGCGTTCACAATCAGTGTTTCTTTGGGAACATTTAAGATGGAACACTACTTTGGCTCAAGTGCTTGCTGTATGCGTATGCTTTTCTTTGCCACCTAAATTCCAGCTAAATTCTTCAAGCATCAGGATTTCCATTGCCAGCAAAATATAGCAAGACGAAAAAAGGGTCTATATGGAAGTGGACCAATGCCCATTCTTGAAATGAACCATACTAACTGAGGAGTTACGCTTTGCTTAAATTGAACCAAACATTACAAGTGTGAACACATTTTTTTGAGTAGAGGTGGACCTATTTTATCTTAACGTGCTTTTTTTTCCATCTTGGTTATCAGGTATTGGGTACTATATTTTCCGAAAAGCTAACTCTCAGAAGTTTGCCTTCAGGAAAAACCCATCTGACCCAGCACTCTCATGTAAGGACCTCATCTCTACGTTCATGAAACCCATCAATCTGCTTGCTATCTTAAGTTTGGTTTATTTTAATACAACCTTAACTTGCAGATCTGAAAACCATTCCAACTGCAACCGGAAAGAGCCTCATTGTATCTGGTCTTTGGGGTTTCGTCCGTCATCCGAATTACCTGGGTGACATCATGATGGGTCTGGCCTGGTCTCTACCATGCGGTGAGGGTTTCAAAAGTAACTCTGCTGTGATTGATCAACTGTTTTGCTCAACTCAATTACTCATAGTGTTGTATGGGAAGATATAGTGGGCACTTTCGCGTTTGAGCTATAATCTGATTACAAATTGAGAAAACTATTATGTTTTCTAACAGTTGGGAAGCCAACTAGACTTATAAAATACCCAGAACAAGTCGTTTCAAGCATTTCTCACTAGTGTTGTGTGTTACCCAAAGTTCTGCCATTGCTAACTGTGTAGCAAGTAAGACACCAAGCCAAGGTCCGTTACTGATGGTCGAGTTTGTTCCTTTAGAAACCCATTTTCTCCATCTCAGTCTGCTTCCGTTATTAATAAAAAAAAATTAAGTAGCTTCTCCAATGAGCAATGGGTGGAGCTGAGAAAAAGCATTGTGATCTTGTTTTTATTATTATTTCAGAAGCAACAAACCTAAAACTGAGACATTTTGTTGGATATTAAGCACATCCCTACATTTCCTACGCCACAATCCCTTTAACAGTATTGATTACTTTGTTATTTTTTTTTTTTTGTAGGGTTCAACCATTTGATTCCATACTTCTACCTGATTTACTTGATCACTCTTCTGGTTCACCGAAATGCCCGTGACCAGCGGCAGTGCAGGAACAAGTATGGCTCTGCATGGGAAGAGTACTGCAAGGCTGTCCCATACCGCATCTTCCCTGGCATCTACTGAGAACTCTATGCTGCTAAGGACACTTGTGCTGAAGTAATCTTTACTCAGGATACACTGAAACACCAAAAGGAAGGAATCTTTAGGAGCTTACAATCATTTTAAGTATTTTTTTTTAAACGATGCACCAATTTTAAAACCAAGTGTTATTTTACCAATTGTGAACACTGCCCCAGATTTCTAGGATGTATATTGTTGTACATATGTTTTTTGTAACAGTTTGACACAATCCTCAAGGTGATTACACACATACATTTACTTGCTTGGTTGTTTACTTTTTTGTGTAATGCTTTTGTATATTGCGAATATTTTGTAAATGTATAATAAGAAAAGGTGTAATATTCTTTCTCAGGACCTTCAATTTGTTAAAAATGAAATGTGTACATAGGTAATGCAAAGTTTTTGGTTTGGTTTGGCATTATGCACTATATAAAAGGCTTTTTGTCACTCAAAGTTCATAAAAATTGGCATTGCTACCTCACATTTTTCCTGTTTGAATTAGATATTTTAAAATGACTGCTTTGGGCACTATATGGCATTTCTCAAAAAAATCACTGCATGCTGTAAACAAACCACGTAGCTTCCAATTTATTTTGTACAAAGTAGTGTTGCAGTTCAATATGGCTTTAGTTTAAAAGAAAGTAGACAATGCTTGACTGTAAATGTGTTTATTACTTGTGGGGACCTACCAGTTGTCCTAATGAGTTTGAACATGCGTTTTTGGTAAATGGATGCATTGTACATTTTATTTATCTGGTTAGATTTTAGTGTTAAGATTTATTTGAAAGAGAGGAAAATTTTACTGTGCAAATGGTATTTTTCAATATCCTTCAATATTAAACCACTTTAGAGAAACATTCTTCCATGCTTTGTGACTATTAAAATGTACAGAATGTTTTGTGAGAAATTTAGATTCTGAGTTGGGTTCCTTATTCTGTTTATCATGAAAATATATTTTGTTTAGTAATCCCGCTCTGATTGAATGGCATGTACTTGACATAAAGCAAGTTATAATCTGGTCACAAAATAAATAAATCCCTTTCCCCTGATAGTTGACTGTTTGCATCTAAATATTGTGAAGACATTGCATTTTTTTGTGGGGGAGGGGGGCGGCACTATGCACTAAAATGCATAGTGTTCTATTATGGCATACAGATATGAGATTTAATGTCTGTAAAAATACAATATTACATAAAAGCTATAAACCTTATTCTGAAAAGGGGAGCATTGATCACCACCATGGTCGTTTTTCACTGCCGAGGTAAGACTAAATGGACCTGGAATGACTTAAAATGAGGATGTGTTTATAAGCTGACTCCAGCCTTTCCTCCCTCCCTGTGAAGCTTCCCTAAAGTCTTGAACTTACCAGACTCCATAAATGAAACATTTCACTTCAATCAATTCCGTTCAATTTGTTAGGATAAGCTAACAAAATATAGTTTCAGATAAGCAAAGGTTCGTTTGAATGAGGATAAATTGCTCTTACAGAACCTCAATATGTCCAAGATATCTCAAGTCGACTGAGAAAGCCACGTGACTTGTGATTACGCCGTTAGCTGCAGGTGTGTACCGATTACTCATTTTCCTTCCCGATTATTCCCTTCCGAGTTCAAGGAGACACTTCAGCACACATCAATCGTGAAACTCGTTTGTCAAGAATTTGCGTTTCTTAAATTTATAACCACTATTTGCGGGATTTACCTTTTAATTCTCCTTCCAAACAACACAAAATATTAAGAGCATACACATTTCTTGAGTGTTTATTAAACGAAATTGTTTATACATACTTCCGAAAACATTATGTAAATGTTTTCTCGGTGGGGACTCTTAATAAGGGAGAACAAAGGAACCAGCTGCTTCAGCTTGTGACTTTGAGGTAAGAGAGATTTTGTGAGTCCTAGCAGGCCTCATGTTCATCCAGTAAAGATGTCTATCCTTGTTTTATCAGTTTCACCATATCAACAGCCTTTTGCAGTTTTTACAGTTAAGCACTAGATGTCAGCAATGGTTTATCCCCGTTAGAGAAATATAACCCGGAAAAGGGAAATATATTTTGGGCTTCTGTGGTTAAAGATCATAGGATCACTCAGAATCAGAATTTTATTTTATAGTGAAGTCCGACTAAGCAGTTTTTTTCCCTCAAGCTGTGAAATTCTCTTTGAGTATGTTTATTTGTTATTGTATTTCCTTTATTTTACACCTTTTCTTCTCTCTTGGATATATTTTGGAAAGCCTTGTCCTACATGAAATGTAATATTTTGAGTTCCTGATAATGGAGAACGCTTCTCTTCACTGGCTCCCCATTGCAGCTATGTCTTTTATAAGTAGGTTTGGAAAAATGAATAAAAAAAAAACATGCTCCGATAAATATGCAGGGAGAAAATCAATCTAGGTGTTGACCTCTGCTTTGTTTTATTATTTAAACATCGTATGTTGATATTTTTTCACAGACAACTTGCTCGATTGGAAACATAAGGCAACATGAGGCAACATGATCCAAACTGAAAATGTCCAAACTGGATTCATAAAATGGGCTAAAACAGGTACCACTTCAATCTAATTTGTGAATCGAACTTTTAGACATGAACTTCTTAAAAGCAGCCCATACCAATTATTATTATTATTTGTGCGTGCGTGCGTGGCGTTCAATATTGGCACAATGCTTTCTCTTCTTCAGTGTTTGCACTAATGTTCTTTATGAATCGTACAAAATATTCTTTCAAGATGAATCTCCTGGTTGTTCTTAACCCTCACACCCAGGCAGCTGTAAATGCCAGGTTTGGTATTGGTGGTTCTTACCCTTTAGATTTCCTGATATAAGTAATGAATGTGAAGGCAGGCACAACCTAGATGTTCTCTACGTTTTTTCAGGCAATACGAGGAAGATTGATGGGTTGTATTTGACCTGTGGGCCATCCGTTGAATAGCTCAAGTCTATAGAGTCCCAAGAGTTTCCCCAAACCGAGTACATTTGCCATTGTTCACTAGTGATTGCTATTAAAGATTATTCATTGTTTCCTTTTATTTGGAGCAAGATTAACATTGTGATAGAGCAGAGGAATTGGGGGTGGACATAATGTGTGACCTCTAGATGTTGGGTGTTTTGTTTTCAGTCTAGCTTTGTTTGCTTGTCAGTTTCAAGTCGTGGTTGATGGTTCATTTGTTCTTGTCAAAACAATCATTTTGTTATTCCTCTTTCACTTCGGGCGAAAAACTCACTAAATGCAGACTGTTTGAGCTACAACCAGCAAACTTTGCTAAGGCACCCTTACTGGACTGACTCAGTTTGCAAAATCTGTTCAGACTGGTACCACTGGTTTCCCAATTCAGGGAAATCACAGAGAATGCAGGAAATTTTCCATAGACTTGATGTAAAACTGAGAACCTCGTAGAAACTTCAGACCAACCACACTTTTGATGGTTACAAAATTCAATCAAATACTGTGCAAAGGTATGTAAACCCCAGACTGTGGAAGGGGTTGAATAATTGCCATTGATCCAATAAATGGGAAACAGCAACAAAAAGTCTTCAAGAATGGGGTTTTGTTTATGCTAATTGTGACATTAGCAGGCCTAGTGGATGGGGTGATTGACTGGTGATCAAAAGGTCGCTGGTTTGATCCCCAGCTTGACTAGGAGTTGATGGTGGGATGAGTGTTAACTCTCTCCTTCCTGAGACAACCATTACTGTGGTGACCTTGAGCAAGTCACCAGTTACCACAGCTCCCCGGGCACCGCAGCCATGGCTGCCCACTGCTTCCGGTGTGTGTTCATGGTGTGTTTATTCACTGCTGTGTGTGTGCACTTGGATGGGTTAAATGCAGAGCTCAAATTCCTTGTATGGGTCACTCCATACTTGGTCGTAACGTCACTTTCATAACTGACAGCCCCATAGCAACCAAACTATTTACCCTAGCAACCAATAGTACTTTACTGTTATAGGGTTGTTTACCCTCTCAAACTCTGGGCAAAGATATTAGGTCTAAATAACTTATAGTGACAAAGGGAACCATATATTGTCACTGACGCCTCTATAGCAACCCTACTATTTATCATAGCAACCATGACTATTTGACTATCTGAGCAAAGAAAAAGGCTAGAGACGTAGGGATTGGTTTATATTACTCAAATTGGTATGAGAAACTTTGACTACACTGATTACGCCATAGCAACCAAACGTTTTACCTTGGCAACCATTCTATTTTACTGATAAATGTCACTTTTACAAGCCACTGTCAAAGTTTGAGTGCAAAGTTTAGCCATCCTCTTTTATTTATGGAATGTCGTCTGGAATGTAATGCATTTTGTTTTGTGCATCCATCTTTGGCATGGAAGGGATCACGCATTTTGAAAGTGCTTTGATTCATGGGTGTTCTGGAAAATGCTTTGAAAGAGAGTGACTGCTCTTTAATCTTTTAATTGTCACGCTGATTGTTTTTGTTTGTTTGCAAGTTGCAGAAATGAATAATAGTTTAAAAACAGATGCAGCATTAACACATTCCTATTAATCAGAATGAGGCAGGCTGTGTCTTTTTTTTTCTCCTCTCAGCTTGGTGCTGGAGAAAGGATAATTATGCTCTTCCAGATGGCTTGCATATTGTGTTGCTGTTGGCGGGCCTTGAAAGAGCTTCAGCCTTTATCGTGCAATAAAATCATCTCTGTGAATAGCCCAGTCAAACTTAGACACGGCGATAATAACATCTAGATACGTTTCCTGCAGCCAGCCCTCTTCTTACACAGCACTCTGTAACTGAGACTGACACTGATGATGCTCGCGAGAAACCGACTGGTTCCTACTGTTAATCCTAGGGGGCAATGCTGAGAAGAACACAAAAGAAGGGGAAGTATGAGGTCCTTGTCCTTATCAGCCCAGTAGGACTTTCTGAGGACAGTGTGTCGTTCCGCTACCGATTCCTGGTGCTTTTATGTTGAGTGCTCAACGATGTATAATAGTGACATAAATCTGCCATGAACCAGACTCTACCTTCGCCAAGTTAAACAATAAAGTCATCCATGGCGCCCTCTGTATTCACACGCTCACTCTAAAACACTCTATGCATTTTTCTCTCTGGAGGGATGAAATCTTTCGACAGGGAAAGCAGTCATGATCTATGCTTGTCATTTTACTCATCTTCATGCTGTTTTGAGGTCGTACACTACCACAAGTTGGGTTCATCTAACCCAACACAGACCAGCAACTGGCTTTTCCTGAATTTGGAAGTTGGAGATCAATTATGCTAATCGCTACAAGGTAAGGTTCCAATAGTATTTTGCACTTTTACTAAGGCTTTTCCATTATTAGAAAAAGTTCTGCTTCAGTGATGCCCCTAATGGTCTTTTTAAAGCGATTATACCATTGAATCTGTGGCTGTTTTTTCAGGGTTATGAAGTTGGTGGCAGCTTTAATCGTGTGCTGGCTGTGTGTTGCTGAGGCTTTGGAAAACTGTCCCAGTGTTTGCAAATGCAGCCAGAAAGCCAGCATGGAAAAGACTGAAGTAAATTGTAAAAAAAGAGGGCTTCAGAGCATCCCTTCGAAACTCCCTCTGGATTCATGGATTTTAAAATTGGGTGAGTTGCATACTTTAACAGTTGGAATTTGCCAATGTATGTAACTTTATTCTTGATATTAGTGGGGTGCATTTTAGCCACATGAAACATATTTCTTTGTCCACCTTTAAATGATCAGAACTTGCAACGAAACATGATTCTGTGACAACCTGACCTATTAAAAAAGGCAACATTGTTTATTTAGAGCAGTGATATTCAACTAAAATTGAAGGAGGTCCTGTTTCATAATTTTTACATTTTTTAAAAACTTTTTACTGCAACATGTATTAAGTAGTCTGCATGTAATCAAGACAAATTAATTCAGTACAATTAAAAAACATTTGACAAATGTAACATCAAATTGCACATATATTTACAATGTTATCTAATTTATGAAATATTAAGCTGGAAAACAAATTTCCAAATAGATTTGTGGTGATGTGGGTGTTAAAAATCTTTTGTCTCATCAAGCAGTTCGACTTTAAATAAGAGCTAGTTTCTGTTTTAGGTAATTTTTAGTGCTCAAAAGTACAGGGCTCTCAAGATTTTGTCACACTTCTGCATGAGAACAACCCTCCCCATTTCATTAATCTGGGAAGTGTTATTAAAGAGAAATTTATTTGTATTAAGAAGCTTGCCGAACAGTAGCATTAATAACTGTGTTACGTTTCAAACTATGAATTAATGTGTTGCGTTAAATGCCATTTATTTCCTTCTTGCCACTTAATGACTAAAAGTAAACAATAGCAAATATAAAATGAAAATAAACAATTGAAATAAAACAAAATGCAGTCTTGACATCAAATAAAGTGCAACTGCAACATAGCAACCACGTTCGAGTCTAAACAAGCTAGTAAAAAGGGAATTTTTAGGTTGGGTTTAGTTCAAATCTGATTGGAAAATTTGAGAGGAGCGAAAGCCACTGTTTTCCCCACTGTGGCTAGTTGTGATTGAGTGACTGGTCTGGATCAAACCAGTGCTTCTAAAACACACAGCTGTCTTTCTGCTGTTATTAGATAGAGGTATAATGGCCAATAGCAGAATTTCTGTGCTTGAGAAATTGAACGTGTGGCATGTGAGAACAGTAAAATAACCACAGTCTGCCTGTCGGCGACCCCTGGCCTAAACCATACCTTTGAAAAGTTATTAGTATAAACATAAGAGCAACTTTGAACTGGTAGTGGTGCTATAGGGTTTGAGTTGGAGGGTCCAGATTAGGTCAGATTACTCATAATGGTCAATTGTGTTTTTGTACCAAATTTCATAACTTTTCTGCAAGCGGTTCATGGGGTTGTCGTTGATGCGTGGCAGAAGCGGAATAAAAATAGGAAAACCAATGGAAACAATAGGTGGCTTTGCTGCTAGGTACCTAATTAGAATCAACTTAAACCCAGTGGCCACTTTATGAATTACAGCTTCAGTCACTTCCTGTTACTCATCCAGAAGGAAACTGGTGGGATTAGAAGTGGGATCTGTGAACATTTTTTTTGTGTGTGTACCAGAAGTAGAATCTGCAGCACTGTACTTTAAATATTTAATCTTAGCTCTCCAAAAAAGTTATTAAATAAAAAGTTAAAACCAGCCCCTCCCAAAACTTTTTTTTTTATCTAAGTACCGTCTAAAGTGGTATTGTGAAATGCGTTTTCAATCCGATAAAACGTCACAATTCTGGTTTGATCCCAATTTAAGAAATGAGGTAAGGTAGCACATTCTTCCAGGCTTTCTGGATCCTGTTGACCCCAGTCATGTTTGAAAACCTCAGGTACAGGAAGAATTTCACATTTTTCCGCCAACTATTTGGTCAAAAACATGTCAAAATGATATTTGCAAAGTTTCCCCTTTTTAACCGCAATGCTTGATGTCAAACTAAAACTTATTACAAGCAGCATTAGTATCATTAAAGCAAGCATTGAAAATATCTAGCATTTATACTCATTAAACTCATGTTTCCCTTCTTTTATTTGTATCTTTACCGTAAAGGTGAAAATTCACTGCAGGACCTTCAAAGCAACATTCTTAGCTCTGTTCCAAAAATCGAGAGTGTAAAGTTGGAGCGAAACTCAATCAGATCAATACACCCTCAAGCATTTGCTGGCGCTCAGCGACTAATGCTTTTAAACCTGCAAGGAAACCGTATATCCAAACTCCCAGTGAAAGGCTTCAAAGATCTCCTAAACCTACGCTTTCTCATGCTTGGCCAGAATCAGATATCTGCTCTGAAACCCAACATGTTCATTGGAATGAGGAACCTCTCAGAGCTGGATCTGCCTTTGAACGCCCTCAATGCTCTCCCACCCAATGCTTTCAAACCTCTGATTGCCCTCAAAGTGCTGGACTTATCCTTGAACCGAATACAAAGAATCTCACCCAAAGCCTTTGTTGGATTAAGAGAGCTGCTTTTTCTCAACATGGACAACAACAAGCTGACCAGTATCCAAGCTGGCACCTTTGCGCCCCTGGTCGGGCTTGAGATGCTAGTGCTGGACAACAATCTGATCAGCACACTAACCGAGTCCACTCTAGAAGGTCTTTCCAACCTTCAGGAGCTCTATGTTCGAAAAAATGAAATTGAGAGTCTCCCTGCAGATGTGTTCCGGCACACACCAAAACTTACTCACGTGGGCTTGAGTGGCAACAGACTTCACGCCATTGATGGCAACATGCTAGCCAACATGCAAGGTAAGAGGTGACCACTTCCTGGTTAATTCTTTTTCTTTTCTTTTTTTTTAAGAAGTCTACACAGTTCCCCAGCAAGCAGTCACTAGCAACATAATTAAATAAAAAATGTATGATCCTTGTTGGGGTTATTTGGAGAAATGCATGCAAAGTTTTTGTCCCCATGTGTGCTGCACCGTGTTGACTCCCGACTAGACAATTTAGAGAGTTTTGGTGGTCCAAATGACAAGATTCAAATAGGGTTTTGCATTAATTTGGCCATCATGTGTTCAGTCATTTTTTTCCAGTATTTATCCAGGATTTGAGGTCTCACACTTCTGTTGTAACTAGAATTCCACATCTGGATTTAAAAGCATAATTGGTCCAAAAACATTTCACCACATTTTCGCAATTTGAATCTGACCCAACACTG